TCAAACTTAGATTGAGTTCGGATATTGGCAATGTCAGTCCACTCACCCTCAAAAGGACAATATTTTTTGTTCAAATTATGCAAATCCGAATATTTTTATCAGTCGGCTTCGAAAATAGAAAACATCGGCGAACTCCATTAAGTACATCCCCCACAAAGGATCAACATTTTATTTCAAATTTCGCACATCTCAATATTTAAACCAACACGAAATTGGTGTGGAGACGGGATAGAACAGAGCACTCCTTATGGTACCTCACCCACAACGTATCAAAATTTCATTAAAACGATCCGATTCTTTTCAAATTCGGAACATTCCAATTCTTTCATTAACACAAGATTTAGTGCCAATATAGAATATATCGGCCCACTCTTTGTTGTACCTACCACACAAAGGGTTCAATTCAATAAAAATTTCAATTTTAAATAACAAAAAGTTAAATTTGATTCTTTTTATTCGCTACACTTTCCAATTTTTGTACTAAATCAAGAATTGCTGTGAAGAATGGATGCATCTGCCCACTCCCTGTGGGACCTCACCCACGAAGGTTAACATTTTAAATAACAAATCGCTCATAGAATACGAAATAAAGATCCGATTCTCTTCAAATTTCACATATCCTACACAAAGGGTCACAATTTTCAATATTTATGTCTCTCATAACCTGTGAAACAAATCAGCGACTCCTTTTAAAGAGGTATATCTACATATTTCTTCAATTTATAGGCCCACTCCTCTTGTTAACTCCCCCACAAAAGGGAATATCCCTATATTTTTCATTGTTAGATAAAGTGAAATTCTTCGGTCCATCATCCAAATATTATAACATATTTGAAGTGATGGAAGTAGTCGATATTGGACTATATCGTACACGTTGTAATATTTATATCAGACTTATTATGTTTACCTTCGTCTTCGCAGATCTTACCATATTAGATATTATCCATATTCTACTTTCAAATCATGGATTTGACGCTGATGACAACGCTACAACTCTGCGCATCTTAGCTTTACTGAGAGCTGAGGTGACAAAGTGTCTTAGGTTCCTAACACCGCAGTCTTGTAGCTTCTTCTTGATATAACTGTATTCGGTTGGTTAATATCGGAGGTGTGAGAGCCCCACTTTTTCTACAGTTTCTAAAAGAGTTTTTCATTCCTTAACAACCATGGATTTAACAGAAAATAGCTTGAGTGCCTGGCTGGCCTTGGTTGTCTACATAGACCGTTACGCCCCTCCCTGCATTCAAAAGCATTCATCTGATCTGTACTGTAGTTGGCTTTCATCATTTCTTACCGGAATGACAGTATCAACCGACTTGAAGTCTAGAAGGGAGATATGTAATCGGTATCCCCGGCAGATTGTGAGTCCACTACAGAGTACAAGAATGACCGGAGTACAAGCTTTTCGTTTTACTTACTCGCAGAGAACTCCCCGATATCGAGGGGTTGGATATTTAACAACACTCTCAGTACCGACTGAAGAGCGATTTTTTCGCTCAGGGATAAGAACATATATGACATTCATATGCTGGATAAGACACGCCAGAGGTTATGAAACCCGTGCATAATATGCGGTTTTAGGCCCCAGCTTTCCCCCATGGAGTTATTTCTACAATATAATGCAATTGGACCCCTCTGTGAAATTTAATTTGTTGGAAATCCCTTAGAAACAATTTTAATGACTAAACTTTCTAACTTCTTGAATATACCACCAACACAGAAGATTCGGCAGAGGTGAAAAGTTCCCCAAGTGTGAACTGACTGCTTTCCTTATTGAACTTTCTCCTATGCTGAAGTTAATAAATCTACTCTTTGGCATTCTATCGACCCTATTCACAAGACTAATGGGAATACCTAATTGGTATAGATCATTTATTTAATTTTCATTGTTGTGAAAGACTTTTTATATATCAAAGAAAGTAGTTAAAGTGTAGCTTAGGTCACCCATATTCTTTTCTATACACACGACATCATGTGGAGCCGTTTCGGTATATGCCCTATAGGCAAGGTATGGTCAAAATTTTAGGTCCCACAGTCTCTGTTTAGTTTTAAGTAGAAAGGAGGATATACTATTTAGTCGTTAGTCCTTCGATGATAAGTGGTTAGATAAGATGGAGCTAGATTGACACAATTCTAGATTAATTTAGCATCGGCTAGTACCAAATTATCTAGATTTACTTAGAGATATTCAACCGATGGAAAATGTTTTATTATCTTATCCAGAAAAAATGTCATTTTTGTTTTCTTAGTGACATGACATGTTTTTTTGGTAATTGTATTTAAACCTCTCACAGTAATAAGAGCCGTTTAAGCAGATTCATCCCGATAGTAAATTGGTATTCTTCTCGAGAATATCATGAAGTCACTTCAACTCTAAGTATGTTGAATTAACATCCACTATAGCGTTCTTATTCCAGTACAGATCTTATCAATCTGACTATTGGTCTAGGATAGAAAATGTCTCAGCCTCTTTCCAGAAATTAAGCTTGCATTAAATTTTAAGAAAAAGTTAAAAGATCTGACTCATTCAGATGAAATATAAACCATCTCATATACAAGTAAGGGTGTAAATAGGTCAACCTGTACATTTTCCTTAAACGGAGAAGAACTATTGATGACATCAGCATGAACCATTGCTTCGCTTTTCGGGTGTATTCGCGTAGGACCGTTCTTATTTCTAAAGACATGCCAAAAGTTGCACTCAGTAACTCGGTTCATTACTTGTATTCTTCCAATTTGTATGTAATAGTAGGGCAGAATATTGCTAGCTTTTTATGTCGAATCCTATGTTAAGGCTTAAATGTTAGCTTTTGTTCAATTTTTTCATAGGCAATTTTTCTTTTGAAATATGTATTCTTCCTTCGACATATTTTTCCACCACATATATATTTTTATTTCTAATTTCTCCAATGAACTCCTAAACATTCCCAAAATCGCTAGATTTTCTAAATGTGGAAAAAAGTTTCGTCGATATATGTAATGCCTTTTCTTCGAACTGTAACCATATCTTGCTTGACAGTTTTTCTGTTACTGAACAGACTGCAGTTTACATACAAGTACAATAACTCAAATTAAATATCTGTGGAATCGAATTACAATTATGATTCATAATTAATTATTGGATTATTAACATCTATCCATGATTTAAATTGTTTTATTGTTTGATATTTTATATTTATTTGATATGCAACCGATAACATGCATTTCATCAGAGTATGATATGAATATACTTTTTAATTCAGGCAATTAAATGTTAATTATATTAAGAGTTGTAGATTTATTTTTAAACCTTATGGATACTCACATAGAACACATACTAGGATATGCATGCATGTGTGTGTTGTGCGTATGAATTGGTATTGATTCCGGATGATTTTCAATAAACCTAGTAACTCAAATTAATGAACATATTAAAACAAATTATCCAGTTTCTCGGCGTATTAGTTAATTTTTTGACAATTAAATTATAAGTTGCTAAAAGACAACAGGTTAAAAATAGCTGTCCAAGATTAAAAAAATAAATTATTAAAAAATTAAATAATAATAATAGTAATAATAATAATAATAATAATAATAATAATAATAATAATAATAATAATAATAATAATAATAATAATAATAATAATAATAATAATAATAATAATAATAATAATAATAATAATAATAATAATAATAATAATAATAATAATAATAATAATAATAATAATAATAATAATAATAATAATAATAATTATTATTAATAATAATAATAATAATAATATTATTATTATTATTATTATTATTATTATTATTATTATTATTATTATTATTATTATTATTATTATTATTATTATTATTATTATTATTATTATTATTATTATTATTATTATTATTATTATTATTATTATTATTATTATATTATTATTATTATTATTATTATTATTATTATTATTATTATTATTATTATTATTATTATTATTATTATTATTATTATTATTATTATTATTATTATTATTATTATTATTATATTATTATTATTATTATTATTATTATTATTATTATTATTATTATTATTATTATTATTATTATTATTATTATTATTATTATTATTATTATTATTATTATTATTATTATTATTATTATTATTATTATTATTATTATTATTATTATTATTATTATTATTATTATTATTATTATTATTATTATTATTATTATTATTATTATTATTATTATTATATTATTATTATTATTATTATTATTATTATTATTATTATTATTATTATTATTATTATTATTATTATTATTATTATTATTATTATTATTATTATTATTATTATTATTATTATTATTATTATTATTATTAGTGAACTGGACAAGACATTATTAACGTATTTTATAGAAAGAGTGAACAGAAAATGATTAATTTATTGCGAAATGGAGACATGCTTATACAGGTCGGGATGTATTTCAAGAAATTCTCCTCAAATAGCTGCACTTCTATACAATTTCGCTATAAAATTCATTACTGACCTATGATCCTAATTTATAAATGTTTCTAAATCATTTTTCACTGTCCTAGAACAACAGATCTCAGCATGTTCAAAATATTTATTTCGTGAGAGACACAAATACGAATTTTATTTATTTATTTTTAATGAAAATAACGTAGATACAAATTGAGATGTCAATTGGGTGGAAAATATACAAATTGAACGTTCATACATGCGTATGAGTTACACATTTAGCTTTACAGTTGTTGCTCATACGCCAACTCTCCAATATCACATCATTCCAATATTTAAAGAATTAAATATTATGTTTTTAAGGTATATTATTATTTTTTTACAAAATTTACAAATTTTAATCTCTTCTCGCGGTACTTGTTAACTTGCACATCATTACTTGTAATTGTAGGTGCGGGTCTGGGGCGAGTTGCTTATGACTGCTTATAAATCATTTGATATTGTTTTTATATTTATACCCTTCTTGTATTCATGTTTTCTCTCATTTTTATTTTGCAGAAAATCGCAACGATAAAGTCGAGGAAACTTCACCGAAACGATTTACCACCACTTCCAGCCTGAAATTGAAACCTACCGCTGATGATGATTACACGGAGTATACATGCCAGGCAAAGCATAAGGCCTTGGCACCAGATATGCCAATGCGAGCCACCGTACAACTGTCCGTTCTGTGTAAGTGAATTTATAATTTAGACATAAGTGAAGCTGTTAACTAACCTATGAGGGTGTGTCGTGAAAAGGGATATAACTTAAAGCAAAAGCGAACAAACTAAGCTACATTGATATCTTCTAGTTTATATTTAAAAAGCGTATTATAATCCATCAGTTGATCGTCCAATCGAATTGTGAACAATAAGCATTCAAAGGGGTATCGCTCATAAATACTGATTAATTTATTCCATCAGATTACAATATTTAACAACCGATTTATGTAAAATTCGAATTGGAACAATTCCAAATAACAATTACTTTACTATTCTCTAAAACAGACGTTTGGTAGAGTGCAGGACCGTAGTCAGTTTACTAACTTCTCGGTTGATCCTATTCCACGAACTCTTCATTATCAACCCACCACAACCTCAAACTGTTCCATGAATGTGTGGTAGTGGCAGGAACTTTTATTCCAAAAAAAGAAAAAAAAATTTTGAGGATTTTATATTTTGGAAATTTGCATATTCGGAATGTGGCGGAATTACCAAAATGTTGTCGAACACCCTTGCACACATTTACATATATACATACACACACACAAGGCCATTAACAAGCGTAAGTGTGATTAAAATTACAATGTGTCTATATGTGAGGGTGTCGTATCTGGTGTTTTAGTGATGGTGATTCTGGATTTGAAATTTTGCCTCATTAAAAATAATTTTGCATAATTTACACTCGCTTCAACTTTCACCGTTCAACTAATGGTTGGGTGGCTAGCCGGGTAAAGGACGATTTGGTCATAATTACGAAGCGTAACTCACACTTTCTGCTTTCTGCTTTCAGTTTCAGAATTTACTTATCTGTGCACACTGGTCGTGGCATGGCGGTGGCGACGTTGATGTAGTTTTTGTGAAAAATTTATGTGATGGCAATAAATACTTTTAATATTTGCCAAAAGCTCATATTTTTAACGTCATTCGTTTCATTTGCGGACGACAGATGGACGGACAAACCAACAAACAGACAGACAGACGGACAGCTATGTGTGACGAGTCCTCGCTACAATTTATGATAATCCCCCTTAATTGGTCCTCGTTTATATTAAAATATAAAAAAAAAGATTGTAAATATGGGCAAAAAGAGAAAGCTAAATAATGCGACAAAGAACACTGGCACACAGGGCAGACTGTAGACGAGGGAAGTGCGTGACAACCGCACAACAGCAGCAACAACAACAATCAATGTTCAGCGAATCAATGCAAATGCATACATCGACATACATACAAACATTACAACAATGCAACGCATACAAAGTGGTTCGCAGGTTCACCAACCGGAAGGAGTATGAAATCAACTTCCGCGCTCGCTGGCAATGTAATCATCAGCCACATGCAACCGGATCCAGCAAAGGATGAGAAGATATGGAAATTAATAAACATTTGCTTAATTTACGCTTGTAAATAATCATTGCCAGCACAACGAAATGCGCGAAAAAGTCCAAATAGAAAATAATAAAAAAAAAACATAAAAATTATAATAATACAAATTAATGCGAATACTTGATCATCATTAAAATGGACGGAGATGATTACGTTTTGCAATTCAATATCGAGCAACATTATAATTGACAGCTTACAGAGCGTTGTTGTTATATGCGCAAGCATGTGTTGGTGTGTGCATGAGTACACAGTAGTTTCTTATAATATCTGGAGACCAAGTTAAATTAACAGAGATTGCGATAACTTACATTTGGTGAAACTTAACTCAATGTAGTAAGGTTACATAATGCCAAAGAGCCTGAACTCGGGAAAATGAATCACTATCACTATACTGTCGTTCCTATCTGAATAGTAAAAGTCATGGAAGCAGTTACATATAAAACTTAAACTAAAGCAACGCATTTATAACTATCTTAAATTTTTCTGACCGGGGTAACAAACAAATGGAAAATGTTAAAATTAAAAATATGCATTTTATTGATAAATTTTTGAAAACCATCGCCTATATCTGGTTCAATAATAAGTCGTTCCTCATCTTACATTTTTTTCTTAAAATATGAAAGTACGAATCAAAAAAACCGCCATATAGTTGGCACCGTTAGGTACTAGAAGTAGTAGGCCGATTTCGTTTTGTTATTCGAATTTTTGACCTGGTGTGGAGAGGTACCAGAAGGGGGGCTCAATCAAACCGTTCTTTGAACCAAATCTTTTTTTTTTTTTTTTGGTAGAAATATTGTGATGTGTGAAATTTGAAGGCAATCGCATTATAAACTGACATAGGATTGATACAAATAGTATGATTCGCAAAGTTTGTCAAATTGAATTATTTTTTATAAAATAAATTATTTTCTGTGAAAAATGTTGATATTTTGTAGGTAGTGAGGTACCAGAAGGGAAGGACCGACATTGACCATCATCGAACTCGATCTAAGTTTGATAATAATATTACGATGTTTTGACCAAATCGAATACTCCCTTGGAGTCAAACGGACGGACATCCATAGATCGACTATAAATGTCGTGTTATATTCTTATATTTAGCTGAAAAAAGTGGCATTTAAATGTGAATAAATCTTTTGTGTCTCGTACCATCGCTCCTTACCGTGATACTGGTAGCATAGTCCGACGTCAAGAAAGTGGACGGAAGAAAACAGCAACATCAGCAGAAATGATTCGAAAAGTAAAGAAGCGACTTGATCGAAACCCATGTCGCAGTGTCCGAAAAATGGCTCGTGAGCTGAACATATCGCAATATTCCATTAGGCAAATATTGAAAAATGAACTCGGGTCAAGCCATTGATATTCCAAAAAGTGCAAGAACTTACACCACAAAAGAAAGAAAATAGACTCGAAAGAGTTAAAGAGTTGCTTGGCTTGGCCGAAAGTGGTGAACTGCCGAATTTGGTTTTCTCCGATGAGAAAACATTCGTTGTCCAGCAGTTTGTAAGCAAAAAAAATGTTCGTGTTTACTGAAAATGTGCACCTTCAGTTGGCCATCAGAACTCAAGCGCCGGCCATGGTGATGATGTGTTCCGCCATAACAGCCGGCGGTCGCTCTTTGGCCGCAGACCTTGGATATTCCAACAGGACTCAGCACCATCGCACTCAACATCCGCCACCCAAGAATGGTTACAAAAAGTGGTTCCTCGCATCATTTCCCGCGCAAAATGGCCTCCAAAATCTCCGGATACCAATATATATTATGAAAAGCAAGGTTGGCACCAAAAAATACCAAAGTGTCTATCACCTCAAGCAAGCGCTTCGCCGGGAATGGGACAAAATACCGCAGAGCAACATTCGGGCAGCGTGTGACGGTTCCATTGGCCGTTTGAAGTCCATAATTCGTGCCAAATGTGACCAATTCGAACAAATCTAAACTTATTCTACAATTTTATGCTATTTTTGATATTTTTAGCTTTTTTAATAAAATGTAAAAATTGTGGCGTTTGACTTTGTAGCAGTGTTTTTATCTCACCCCGTATATATTTAAGTTATCATAGAAAATACAAATTACTGCACTTGTATTTTCAAAAGACTTTCGGCCTTAAACCTGGAAACAACTCTCGATTTAAAAGGAAAACCTCATTTGCAAACTTTCATACGCTTCCTTTATCGTGGCTAATGAATTTTTTCATCGACTCGTACTTGTTGGACTCACAGACTGCGGCTCTGACTTCATAACCCTGTCGTAAACAGCCCTCATAGGATATAATCAATATTTTCATTTCTTAGCTGAATAAATGATAAAAGTAAAAAAAAAACCAAATATATATGTCCGAAGGGAAAGAAATCGTTCGTTTGCATCTTGGAGGCGAGAAGAATTACACTAGCTGGGATATTAAAGACAATTCACATAGATCCCTCTCCTTATCTGTAATACTCAAAGTTAATTCCACCCCTTTTGTTTTTTGTGATATGAAACCAATTACATTAAATGTCTGTTAATGCAAGCGTCACAAAATGTATGCGCCATATTTTATGCCAAAAATACATCATAATGCGTACAGGCCCCTAAGTGAAATTGAACGGAATCAGCGCATAGATGACAGCGTAAGCGATTTGCAATTAATTACAAAAATTTGTTCCTATAATGCAACAAAATGGGCATTGTAAAATAAAACAAGATCCTATCCAACACATCACCCCTTCGTCGAAGCCTGTCACACCGAATAGTTCGACCAAGGTATCAAAGTATACAAACGATGGATAGTAAAAGCATTTTTGTATAAAACCAATGTGTACGTGAGTGTGTGTGTGTGTGTGTGTGGACTACCGCCAAGTCTTGTTGAAAATTTCAACAAATTTATTTTTAGTTGGTGGCAACAACAATGCGTGCTGGTTTACCGTACATGTCAAACCAAAATATGATGGAAATTGCTTATCAATATTTTATAACAATAAAACGGCACAAGTCCTCAGGACATAATGTGAAACTCTTTTATTCGGCTGAGTTTTACAATCGCACACACACACACACACATACTGATCGCGGACAATTCTGGGTCGTACCAACAGTTTGTGGCCTTTGCTACCGTACCTACCGTACACCGGTAGCAAGCAGCCAGGAAAAAGAGGGCAGCCACTAAACTGTGGATGTTGCACATGACGTGTATCTGCTGTGGAGAAGGCATCTCATGAATATGCAACAAAATTCAATTTAAAGCGGCGGCAAATAATGTGGCAGCATGCGACAGATAAATTCAATTATAATAAATTTCCAAGGCCCTCGGCCAAACCAACCAACCAACCACCCACCTATCCAACCAACCAACCCCACCACACGCCATCCAACTAAAGATTCACATACATGGCTGTCCCTTGCTGCCGGTTCCTGGTCCCCACTTTGAACACCTGGCCGAAGGCTATTGTATGCAAACACATTCATTGTCAGCTTGTAAAGTGCTGCAATAATTTTTTAGCGATAGACTGCAGCGGTAGCTCCACCAAATGGGGTGGCGGGATGAAATCATACGTCGGCCACAAACAACAACAGCAACAACTAGCAACAAATTATGAAATTTTTACAGTTTTTTTATTGGTAGATTCTCGTTTGGTCGGAAGTTCTCTAATTGTGGCAGTTTTGCGGTATACCTACACATATATTCACATACCCATAAACTATGGTCGCTGAACTGGGAGGGTGACAGACTGGAGGGGGGCGTGGTGTTAAACACCATGCAAGTCTATCGCTTTTGCGATGGCACATATGACCGAGCGTATGTGTGAGTGTGTGTGTGTTTACAGGTATCATATGGCCAAAAATGAGAACATAATTATGGAAAAATTTGTGTTTGTGCAGCATATTTTTTAGTCTAATTGAATTGAAAAACTTTTTAATAAAATATGCAACCATTTTCATGAAAGCAATGGTGTAGGAAACTGATACTTAAAAGAATTTCATTTAGATTTAAAATTTAAATATGATTTCGTTTTTATAATAAATTTAGTTTTCCCAAGAGGAAAACTATGTGCCGACAATTGAGGCAAAAACAAAAAAAAATAAATAAAGGATTTAAAATATTTCCTTATGGTCTAATAATAAGTAAAACAGAATATTTATGTTTCTATTTCTCTTTCGAGGCGGACAAAAATTACCTAAAATTTGTAGAACATTCCACATTCGACTCTACCATCTCTATCTACCAGCTTTTCAAAAAAGTGTTATTTGTATCGATGGGCTTTTATTCCACACAAACCGCGTTGTTCCCAATACATGCATATCTTCTGTGCGGTTTAAGGAAATTGGGTTCTATACTCGAGATTTGCGGATCAAATCCGTATCTGTGCCGGAAATCATTTTATATATATCAAATCGGACGAACCATATATTGAACAGATATATCCGTATTTGAAGCAATCTTCACTAAATTGGACATGCTTTTTTCCTGTCCGCCAAAATCCATCCTAATTGGGTTTGTACAATAAACCTTACATCGGAAGATATAAGGTAGCTATATTGCAAATTTGACCAATTATCGCCAATTTGAATATGGTTCGTCCTGAGGATAAAGACACGACTTGTGGAAAATTTCAACGCAATTGGACAATTAAAACATCGTAACAGACATGCCTTAAACCGGCGAAGTTATTTGAAGTATGCGCCAATATCTTCTTAGCAATATTTTGTCCTTGACCCTCTTTGTTGTTCGGTATCTCTGTGACTTAATTATTTTTCGACAAAACTTGGCGCTCACATTAATGTCCATTTTCTGCTTATTCTAAGTAGGTGACATTGACATTCTGACCTAAGCAACCTTTGCACTTTGCCCTCTGATTAATTATTTTATTATGCATTCTACATTCATCTAATGTGTTTATCTATCATTTTTCAGATCCTCCCGGCCCACCATACATTGAAGGTTACACTCAAGGAGAAACATTAAGACGGGGTCAGCTGGTAGAACTGATTTGTCGCAGTCGAGGAGGCAATCCCGCAGCCCAATTGATTTGGTACAAAAATGGTCTGCAAACAAAAATGGCATATAAGTAAGTAATATTAACTTCAAATGTTATACCAAAGCACCCATACAACTTCAAAACATTTCGAAAGGACATCTCCGCGTATAGCAACCGTTCATTAATGAACTGTTTGTACGACGCGCACAAAGTTTCGCTTAAACATTTATTTGAAAAGTAATACACAGTTTTAATTTTAATTCGCAACTTGTGTTAATTTTGCCCAGCTAAATCGCATATTATGAACAGCAGCGACGACAGACAGTGTCATTGGCAACCGGGACAGAAATACGAATATCTCCAACTTTTGTAATGAATATTTTGCCAACAAAAACAAAGTGCCAGCCAGCCAGCGTTGCCTTTGTCGCTACGCTCTGAACTGAAACGAATCATCAACGTCAAAGTCAACATTTGTGTTTCAACTTTTGTAATCTAGCAGTTCACTCACTCACTCGCTCGCTCGCACTCGCTCTCTCACTCTGCCATTCTAAAAACTTATTATCCCCAGTTTAGCTGCTATCGTTGGTGCTTACATTTTCCTCCCGCTCCCCTTACTTCAGCGAATATTTTCACTGTTTTATTGTTGTTTTATTTACTTGTGTTTTTTTCCTGTCTTTTTTTATTGCAGAACGATAGGACGAATGTCGGAAAATGTCTACAAATTTACAGCCGAAGCTAGTGACAACAAGGCTCGATTTAGGTGCGAAGCGATTAATGTTATGTCGCCGGCACCACTTAAAGCTGAAGTTGAACTGACTGTTTTGTGTAAGTATAGTTTGTACAACCCATTCTATCTTGCAACCATGGCGTTTATGGGGATTAAACTTGCTGTACACTGCCAGGGAGTAAATATTGAAGCATTGTTTTAGACCAAAATCGGGATTTTGCATGGATCGAAGACAGTGTGTTTGTGTTGGGAAAAAGAGTTTTTCATCTGATTTAAAATTCAAATATTGAGGGTACTCGTGTATTGTATAACCCATAAAATGCGTTTCATTGAAATTAGTCTTGAATTTTTTTCTGAGGTATTAGCAATCTTACCGCACTTAAGTTTTTAACTCAAATTTTGTTTTCTACATCATTGAGCATATATAACTTTTTCGCATTCGCAACAAACCCAATTTATTCTTTTAATTTGGATTAAACTATGAAGTATTTATGTTTTAGAATATCATCGAAATCCTTTTATATAGTTTATTTTTGTGGATATCGAGAAAACTGAAGCAGCTATTGAGATATCTACATAAAATTATCTAAACTATTTAATAATAAATATAAAAAATAAATCCAGTTCAAATATAAATACATTACCTTCGGATTTCGAAATTAAGAATTCATAATCTCAAAGATCACAGAACATTTTAGTATATTTCATTCATGTAATATTCAAAATTTTACAATTTTGTCAAAAAAAAAATATATTTTAAAAAATTCTCCAGAACTGTTTCATTCCTACAGGCTGCCCTCTGGAAATTTTTAGAGATATTTCGTACAATATCGTTCAAACTTCCAGCAAAACAAATTAGCACAGGGGCTTTTTTGAAACAAGAAAGAAATATACCATTACAAATTTGTTTTTAAAATTTTGAAATATACTTGATAAAATCAAATATATGAAAAATAAAATAAATAGTAGTGGAATAGTATTTTTCTTCTGAAAAAAACCCACAATTCACAGTCAGCATTAACCAAATCGAGATGCAAACTTTAAATTGATTTTTTTTCTTAAAATGCCCAGTCTTTATACCCTACACCTCAAGGTGGTCAGGGTATTTTGTCTTTGTGCAGTTGTTTCTAAGAAGCGAGATAGACCCATAGTTCCTTTTGATGATTGGCATAGAATCAGATTCTGAGTCGATTTATGCATGTCCGTCCGTCTGTCTGTCCATGTATTTTTGGAAACAAAGTACAAGTCGCATTTATTGCCCGATACAGATGTTTTTTTTTTTTTTTTTGAGAATGGAGATAGTCGGTCAAAATTGTTGCATTTTATTGTGCACCAAACGTGTTATATCAGCCCAAATAGTATGGAATTTGGCACATACGACCAAATTAAGCATGGAATTAAGTTTACCGAATTTGAACGAGATTGGTTCAGATGTAGCTATAGCTCCCATATATATTGTTCATCCAATTTGTTATTTTTGTCCTCCTCTGCTGTAATATGTACTCTGTAACAACGATATTTGGGGAAATATATCAAATATAGCTCAAAAATACCTTTGATAAATTTATCGAGATCGGTTCAGATTTGGATATAACTCCCATATATACCCTTATCCGATTTCAAGTTATTTGTGCACCAAATGAGTAATATAAGACCGAATTGAAAAGGTACAAATGCCTCAGCAAATCATCTCAGAAAAGGACAATCCTCTCATGTACTAGTTCCTTTGGACTTTTAATTATATCTTTAATAATCATAGTTGGTATGATTTAATTCTCACAAATTCCCCATAAACATGTTTATTCGTTATTTGAAGATCTTTTGGGACCGCCGACTTTAAGACTTTCTTCACTGGTTTTTATTAAGAATGTGATATAATAGTCAAAAATCCTTATGCATAATATCTTTTTTATTTTTTTTTTTTTCAAAATTGGGGTTCATCCATTTAAAAGATAAGAAAATTGAGCGAAACTACCCAAAAAATGGGGTTTAACCATTGAGGTTAGCAAAGATGGACCATCGACTATTATTCAAGATTTCGTATGCCCATTACCAAAAATGACAAAATAAAAGTTTTTTTTAGTGGTTTTCATCCTCAGCCAACTTTCTACAGGAGTCTATCATTAAATATGGCCAAAATGTACTCAGTGCAAGGTCAGGGCAAGAATGAACATTATCAGCCCTTGTTGTACCTCCCTCACAGAAGGTTAACATTTGGAATAATAACTGTTATGAAATGTGAAAAAAGTCAGATTGTTCCCTAAATTTCGTCAATCCCAATACTTCTACCAACTCTATGTATGGTACCTTCCCCACAAGAGTTCAAAATTTTGAATAACCATGACGCTCAAAAAATACAAAATGTGCATACGACTTTTTTTAAACTTCGCACATCCAAATATTTCTACCAACACAAGAATGTGAATGTGATATTTAGCGGACCACTTCTAAAGCGTCAAAATATTGAATAATTATAAAACTTAGAACACACGAAACAAGTCAGCGTTTTTCTTCTTGTAAATATACGATATGTCCGTCCACTATTTATAGTATCCCCGTACAAAAAGTCAACATTTTCTAAAAACTTTATACACACATCTCATATAAATTATGGAAGTAGGCAATGTATTTTAGACCTAGTACGTCGTTAGATTTATATCAGACTTAGTCCAGAGGCGAAATGGACAATATAGGCCCACTCCTCTAGTACTTCCCCTAAAAAGGGTCAATAATTTAAATAATCATAACGCAAGGTAAAATATATTTTAACAACGGACAATGGCTGAGGATATTCATCTGTCGGCAAATCCGACTGATACTTTTTCCCTTTCGACCCATTGTACAGTACTTGGCTGCGAACAACAACAGCAACATTAAATAAACAACAATACAAAGTTGTACGAAAACATAACATCTTCAATTCGGCTGAATCTTAATTGTTTATGTTGGCCACAGTACAGAAGCAGTCAGTCAACAGCCAACCTACCAGCCAGCCTCCCGTCTCCTAAACGCCTTCGTAACAAAACATTCAGGCTTTTGAGAAGCACTTTCAGTTAATTGTATTGTGTTACGCTGTTGTATTTTCTTGAGAGTGTTTTCTCTAGAACTCTTACACAAGAAACATTAACATACAAACGCTTCACATAATGACTGTCAACAAATATGTAATTTAAACACACAACGCAAACTGCTGGAAACTCCACAGTTGCGTTTGGATTAAGACAAATAGGGGAGTGTTATTGATGCTGCCATATGCTACGGAACGCTACGCTTGTTGTCGCAATTATTCATCAAATCAAGCATTGCAAGCCGAGTTGACTAACTAGGATCTAGTGCTGCAACTTTGTTTCCATCCACAGCACAGATGTAGTATATTTAATTTTAAAATAGAGTTGAATGCCCTCGTTCTCCCCCTCTTGTAACTTGGAGCGAAATAAACAAAACAAAATATAAATTCAGCTACTAGACGATAAAAACAAAAATTACTGCTCGAAACAAAAGCCAAGGACTACAACTTACATGGAGAGTGCGATAGAGAGATTTCATTAGGCAGCGGAAATGTTGTTGTTGTTTTTCGTTGCGTAGTAATACTTTTATCCTCCAAGGAAAACAAATTAACAATGCCTATGCTAAAGTCCTTTAGCACAACAAAATATACACACACACACACACATGGTGTGCTTGCGGATGTAGACTCATACAGACGCACATGTAGTGATGCATATCTTTATGAGTCATAGATGTGTGTTTAATAACCTTTTAAATATTCACATATCGCTCTCGACATAAACAGACAATTGATAGCAAATGATCCCGTCAGGATTTGAATGCGTTTAATGTTGCTTTGAAAACAGCAACATCGACTACAGCCACAACAGCATCAACACCAACAAAAATGCAAATAATTTCATTTTAATAGACATTCGATAGTGGAGACCATTAAAATTCTATAACTCATGCACGGATGGCTGAAAGCAATCCAAATATGGGACATTTTTAATCGAAATATGACGCAGTAGGGAATACATGGTTGTTAAAGCAATATTTTGGGGTTTTTATTAAATTATTAATAATTTTAGTAAACACCAAGCAGGGCAGTACGATGGGTTTAGATAAAATAAACTACTAATCAGAAACATTGTCATTTAGGAACCAGGATGTGAGAAACGAATGGGGAAAACCAAAATCAATTTTGAAATTCAAATCTAATTGCTATCGGATGTGAATTACAGCTCTAATTCTGAATATATTTATTTAAAAACTTAAATATCATCATCGGCAATAATAAGAAAAGTTTAACGACATAAGTCAAATTAGTAAACTTCGTTTAGGGCTACGTGTGACTGTGTGTTTCGATGTCATTCTAGAAATCAGAAAAAATGGAACTAATTTCAATGTATATAGGGTAATTGAAGTATATTATGTTGGATATTTGAATCTTCCTTTTTTCGAAATTCATAAAATTTTTGGGGTCACTAGATAAAGTGAATTAACATAATCTCAATCATAGACATGACATTACATTTTATTAGAGATATTATTATTATTATTTTTATTATTAAAATGTTTGGCATTTTGTGGGGGACGCACCAGAATGTGTGGACCGATATTACCTCTCTTCAAATTCGATCTAAGTTTCGTAATATATAAATATATATATATATATATATATATATATATATATATATATATATATATATATATATATATATATATATATATATATATATATATATATATATATATATATATATATATATATATATATAACATAGTATTTTGTTGTTGCACAATGGTCAGGCCAATCCCATTATTGTTGTTTTTTATTAAAACAACGTTTGTTTATTTGTGGAGAATGATGGTAATGTTTACCAGGTGGAAAGGCAGGGAATATCTTGTTTTCGGAAAGACTCACCAATTCTCATCAGTTCCCTTGTTATACCCTCCACCATACATAGTATGGATGGTATATTAAGTTCGTCATTCCGTTTGTAACTCATCGAAATTATAATTTTAGACCCAACAAAGTATATATATTCTACATCAGCGTAAAATTCTAAGACGATTTAGCCCTGCCCGTTCGTCCGTCCGTCTGTCC